ACTAAACTAATTAATGCCTAGAATTACTTTAAAACTATTTTGCGACAATTTCACAATTAAAGCTAAAGTGAATTATTTTTGTCATTTTTCATATCTTGTTTTAAAACAACTTAATCCCTAATCAATGGTAAAATATGAAATAGAATCCTAAATGCAGATGCATATTTTTTGTATTTTATACGAATTAACATGCACAAACAAAATGCAAACAATTATCAAAAATGACACAAAAATGCACAAAATTGTAAAAATAAAGAAAAATCTTTTGTTCGAATTTTGTGGGAATAATTCATATATAGGGCAAAAATCACGTGCTCACAACGAGGTGATGAGAGTCCATGCGTAGCTACTATTATTCTTAAGTCCGGGTAGTCTAGGACCCAAAATCATGCTTTACTTGCAATATTTGAAATCTCGTTGTCAATTTAAAAATGCTTAAAACATATCGAATGTGTAAATGAATTTCTAAAAAGACTAGTCATCGTTTCTTGATTTTTTTAAAAAGAGAGATTGCGTTTTATCGGATAGTTGTTTCCCTGATGAATTCTTGATTGACTGTTTGGTGTGTTTATTTATATTTGACTGCGTCGCATGTATAATTCGCGAGCAGGGTAACAGATGCATCTATGGTTCGCACCATTCGACCCTCTCGCAGTGCACAGTTTAAATATTGTTGGATCGGGCCGTACGACCTCGGCATGATTGCGCATGCTTGTATTGCTTGCCTTGAAATTTGTTGATGTTGATATTGTTTTCTCCCTGGCTTGAGAATAAATGTATAATTGATGAAAAAGAATTTGGAAATTTCCCTATGAATAAGAATTGTTACTTGCCCCATTCTATTGAGTTACAGCCATGTTTATAAAAATCCTTGATTACTATATTGTTGGCATATTATTAATAGACCACTAGTAAGTGTCGAAGTCGACCTCTCATCTCTACTGAGATTAGACGGGATACTTACTGAGTACACGTTGTTTTCGTACTCATGCTACACTTGCTGTGCGTTTTTGTTGCACAGGCACATGTATCTCTAGTGGCCTAGTGGGCGTAGCAGCATGGTTGATACGGAGACTTGGGTGAGCCGCACTTCTCGAGATGACCCGCAGCCTGCAGAGTCTCTTTCAGATTACTGTATTTACTTTCTGTCCTATTTGTATTCCGAACGGTTGTTGTATTACATTGTTTCCTAGAAATAGCTCATGCACTTGTGACACCGGGTTCTGGGATGATTATGGGATTATTTAATATTAAGTTTATTAAAGACATCAATATTTATTCAGTGAAATTCATTATTTATTGTTTAATGTATAAAGGAAACGATTTCAAAAATATTAAAACAAGAAATTACTAGTAAATTGGTGTTGGCTTGCCTGACAATGATGTCCAGCGCCATCACGACCTTTAATGGATTTTGGGTCGTGACACTTCTTGGAATTCAGGCCTTTTAATATCGGTAGTGCTCCTGGGATTTGGTCGACCCTGGAATTGTAGGTTTCCACCTTTTTGTCATTGGCTTCAATTTTCTTTTCTCCCTATTCTACCCGTTTTGTCAGCTCCTCGAGCATCTTTATGATCTCGGGGTTGGTCCCCAATTCATTTTCATTCGGCCTCTCCGTGACCAGTTCATTTCTGCGAGTGACTTCCCGGGATGGCTCAGGCTTAATTCTGCTCGGCGCGCGGCTTTTGTTCTGCAACTGGCTATCGCTGCCTGTTGAGCCTGTAACATTTCGAAGATCACCCGCAAGTTGATCCCATCACCTTCACCGTTGTGCGTATTTTGGGCAATCGATCAGACTTCCCTACGGACGCTGTTCTCAGGATCGGGAGGCAAATTTGCATTGATGGCCACATGCGATCTAGCGTCGATTGGGTCCGCGACTGGAACTCCATTGAGATCGACGGGGGGCACCTTGTTACCAGGTGCTACATTGTTGTTCTCGCCATGGTGGCCGGACTCAGCATCCACATTTAGATGGGCTGACTGGGAGTTCGACATTTCAAACTTTAACCCAAAATCAAAGATACTCCAAAGAACAAGTGTAAAATAGGGTGTGTTGTGGAAATTTGTATCAAATTGCCACTATTATCCTTAGCCCCACGGTGGGCGCCAAACTGTTTACCCTCAAAATCGGATAACAATTGAATTTGTACGTGATTAGTTTGATACAAACGATAAATTGAATTAGAATGAACAAGTAAAGGTATAGTAAATTTAAACCACGCGAGGAGAATGATTCTAGCCTTAGTGTAATGTTCACCCTCGATCCGGGCTCACAGTGGCTAGTATTGATGAACAAGAAAAAGAGCTTTGATAACAGTAATATAATAATGTATTGCTTTGGAATGCGTGTTACAAAAGTGCCTATTGAATTATCAGACCCCTTTATATTGTAGAGGAATCCTACTCTAGGTACAGTTACATAAAAGGTAAAAATCTTCTATTTTAACCGATTGCCGATTCTTCGTCGACACATGCCGAGATCCACGCCATGACATCCGGCCAATCGCGGATATCACGACCTTTTGTTGATCGTGTTTGTGCCCGACAATATTTCCCAAACTCTTTCGGGATTAGGACCGATCCAGGATCATGATCCCGATATTCTCGAGGGCGGGCGTCATGCCCACGGACTCTGACTCGATGAGACCCTTGTTTTGATTCTGGTTCTTCATCATAATGTTTTGAGCTCGATTTACCCTATCGGAGACTGGGGTGTACCGTTAGCCCGATTTTACCCGTACACAATGTGATCGGGACGTCTGGGGTTCGAGCCGTGGAAATAGCCTCTTGTAAAAATGCAAGATAAGGCTGCGTACAATAGACCCTTTTGGTCCGGCTCTTTCCTGGACCCCGCGCATAGCGGGAACTTAGTACACCGAACTATCCTTTTAAGATATAAGAAAATTTTAAAAAATAAATAGATTAATTATCTATTTATCAACTCTCTCATTTCCATCTATAACTCTCCTACTTAATTAACCAACTTTTAAAATTTTCCACACGTTTATTTTTCCGCACAACTCTCTCCCATCCAACCAAATTAACACTCTCCATCTCTTCCGAAAGTCTTTCTTTGCTTGGCATATCTCTCATTGGTTCTCCGTAGTAATCGGAGAACTAATTAAAAAAAATTCTAAACCTTTGTTTTAGCTGACAAAACTTGTAATATTGATAGTTAAAATGAATAATAATTCAATGGCAACCTTTCTTTTCTTTCTTTTTTAGTACTCATAAATTTTTTACAACATTGAAAAAACAAGAGTGATTCCCATATCTATAATGAAGAAAGGAAAGATCTGTTGCCAAAGACCACCCAATTAACACACAAGTTTTTCATCAACATTTTGGTGAAAAATAGTTAGTTTTAATTACTAGATTATGTTTTGAAAAAACTGAAAAAATGGCAAGTTTATCAGGAGCACCATCTAAGAAAGCAATACGTAGCCCTGGAGGAACAAATCCAGGTGGTTCTCAAGGTGGTAATAAAGGAAATTCAAGTGGACAAACAGTAAAATTTGCGCGACGAACGTCGAGTGGACGATATGTGAGCTTGTCAAGAGAAGATCTTGACATGTCAGGGGAATTTTCAGGTGATTATATGAATTACACTGTACAAATTCCGCCGACGCCTGATAATCAGCCTATGGACACGTCCGTGGCAGCAAAAGCTGAAGAACAATACGTTTCTAATTCGCTGTTTACCGGAGGATTTAACAGCGTTACTCGTGCACATCTCATGGATAAGGTCATTGAATCTGAAGTTAGTCATCCTCAAATGGCTGGATCCAAGGGTTCGTCGTGTTCGATGCCTGCTTGTGATGGAAAGATCATGAAAGATGAAAGGGGAAATGATGTAATCCCTTGTGAATGCAGGTAAATAAATAATTAAGCAACACTCTTTATGTTGTTGTTCTAGTGTATTCCATCAATTAGAAATGAGTTTAAGTTTCGCGCACAGATACTGTAAAAGAATATTTATAGGTAAAACTCTTACTCCTTCCGCTTCAGTTTAAATGACACACTTTCTTTATAGTTCGTTCTAAAAATAATGACACATTTTTATATTTAGAAACAATTTAACTTTAAACTTTTCATTTTACCCACTTTACCCTTAATGAGAAGCTTTTATAGCCACACAAATATTATGACCCCACTAAGCTTTTATCCTTTAAACTTTTAGGATCAGATATTTCAAAAGTCTTCTTTTTCTTATACTTTGTGCCAAGTCAAATTACCTCTTCTAAATTGAAATGGAGGGAGTAATAAACATTAATTGGTAATATGATAAAAATGGTTACTAACTTACTGTTACATGTTAAAATTTGTTTTACAGCTTGTTTGGATCGTTGTTACATGTTGTTTCATATTGTATTGTATTGTATTGTTTTGGATAAATAGAACGTTTGGGTAGATTGTATCGTTTGCCGTTGTTTTATGATGTCATACATCAGTAATACCAAGAATAAACTTGTAATATTATAAAGAAAATGGGGTTGAATTATTATATAAAAAGAGGGTAGAGGATAAAATAGGATATATAATAATAAGGAAGAGCAAGATGAGAAAAAAAAAAGAGATAAGATAACGATGCGACGACACCAAATCGGTTGTTACATAAAGTTACACTTTTCGTCGTTGCATAACAATGGATTTAACGATATGATACAATAAAATTAATTAAACAAACATTGTATTTAAAGGAACAATACAATACAATACAATACGAAACAACCATGCAAACAAGTTGTTACATTGCTAGTGTAATTTGAATCCATTAGAAATTGTGCTGATAAGTATTTCTTTTGAGCGTTGTTTAGGTTCAAAATATGTAGAGATTGTTACATGGACGCACAAAAGGACACTGGTCTATGCCCGGGTTGCAAAGAACCTTACAAGATCGGAGATATTGATGACGAGATTCCAAATTTTAACAATGGAGCATTGTCTTTACCGGCACCAGATGGTGCCAAAGGGAGTCGTGCCAACATGTCAATGATGAAAAGAAATCAAAATGGAGAGTTTGATCATAACAAATGGCTGTTTGAGACACAGGGCACCTATGGATATGGAAATGCTTATTGGCCTGATGATAGAGATGGAGATGATGGCGGCGATGGAATGCAAAAAGGCGTGCTCGATACATCTGCTGAAATACCTTGGAAACCCCTTAGTAGGAAGTTGCCAATACCGCATAGCATTATTAGCCCTTATAGGTATGTACTTCAATTTTGCTACAATGGATAGTTATATAGTAGTTATATGCATTTTAATTTTTTGTGAATTAATGGCAATGTACAGGTTGCTAATTGTTATTCGACTAGTGGTATTGGGCTTCTTCTTGACATGGAGAATAAGACATCCGAACCCGGATGCAATATGGCTATGGCTGATGTCAATTATATGTGAAATATGGTTTGCATTTTCATGGATTTTGGATCAAATTCCTAAGGTGACGCCTGTTAACCGCTCTACTGATCTAGTGGTACTGCGCGAGAAGTTTGAAATGCCATCACCATCAAATCCTTCGGGTAGGTCAGATCTCCCTGGAGTTGATTTATTCGTGTCAACGGCTGATCCAGATAAAGAGCCACCCCTCGTCACAGCCAATACAATCCTATCCATTCTAGCAGTTGACTATCCCGTGGAGAAGCTAGCTTGCTACATTTCAGACGATGGCGGTGCACTTCTAACTTTTGAGGCAATGGCTGAAGCTGCTAGCTTTGCAGATTTGTGGGTACCATTCTGCAGGAAACATGATATTGAGCCTAGGAATCCTGAAGCCTATTTTGCCTTGAAAGGCGATCCTACTAAGAACAAGAAGCGATCTGATTTCGTCAAAGATAGACGAAGGGTTAAAAGGGAATATGATGAATTTAAGGTAAGGATAAATGGTCTGCCAGATTCCATAAGAAGGAGATCGGATGCATTTAACGCTCGAGAGGAAATGAAGCAGTTAAAGCACATGAAAGAGAGCGGCGCTGATCCTGCAGAGATAATCAAAGTTCAAAAGGCTACTTGGATGGCTGATGGAACTCACTGGCCGGGAACATGGGCATCCCCGAGTAGGGATCATGCCAAAGGTGATCATCCTGGAATCCTTCAGGTATAGCAATGGTTATTTTCTTAAACAAATTACTTTCTCTACCTGCTCAGAGTAGGGGTAAGGTCTGCGTACACACTATCCTCCCCTAGACTCCACTTGTGGGATTACGCTGGGTTTGTTGTTGTTGTTCTTAAGCAAATAGTACATAGTTCTCTTTTTTTTTTTAAAAGAAAACTAATCGTCATACATTCATTTTGCGAATATATGCCTATTTAATTTGTAGGTAATGTTGAAACCCCCTAGTAGTGATCCACTAATGGGAGGGGGTGAAGAAAGCTTTTTGGATTTTTCTGACGTGGACATAAGGCTTCCAATGTTTGTGTACGTGTCGCGTGAGAAGCGGCCTGGGTATGATCATAATAAAAAAGCTGGTGCCATGAACGCACTTGTGCGAGCTTCAGCTATATTGTCTAATGGCGCATTCATACTCAACCTTGATTGTGATCACTATATATACAACTGCTTAGCTATTCGTGAAGGGATGTGTTTCATGATGGATAGAGGTGGAGAAGACATATGTTATATTCAATTCCCTCAACGATTTGAAGGCATCGATCCCTCTGATCGTTATGCCAATCACAATACTGTGTTTTTCGATGGAAATATGCGTGCACTTGATGGCCTCCAGGTACATATCAAACATGACTTGCATTTTTCTCAATTTCATAACCATATTAAACTTGCTCGTCCATTTATATATAGGGTCCTATGTATGTTGGGACGGGTTGCATGTTTAGGCGATTTGCACTTTACGGCTTTGATCCAGCACAACCTGATAAGATACCACAAAAGGGTGCAGAGGCTCAGGCACTGAAAGCCACAGATTACGATCCTGACTTAGATGTGAATCTACTACCTAAGCGTTTCGGAAACTCAACAATGTTATCCGAGTCTATTCCAATTGCTGAGTTCCAAGGCCGCCCTATCGCTGATCACCCTGCTGTCAAGTTCGGACGACCTCCTGGTGCTCTTCGAGCCCCAAAGGAACCACTTGATGCCACCACTGTCGCCGAAGCAGTCTCTGTCATATCTTGTTGGTAAGCTCCTTGTATTTAATTAATTCCAAGTTATTACAAGTTGTTGGTAAACTCATTACCATATGTAACAGCTCAGTCCACTAGTTATATAGTCCACTTTGAGCCTATGTCGCACGGGCATTAAAATGTGTCACTAGGGTCTAAGGCTTGTTCACTTATATACCGAGCATCTCTCCCGTGTTTTGTCGATGTGAGATTCGCCTGAGGTGTTACGTTTTCACAACATTAATTAATGCAGGTATGAAGACAAGACGGAGTGGGGTGATCGAGTAGGATGGATTTATGGTTCGGTGACAGAAGATGTGGTTACTGGATACAGAATGCACAACCGTGGATGGCGTTCTGTTTATTGCATAACAAAGCGCGATGCCTTCCGTGGATCAGCACCCATAAACTTAACAGACAGGCTTCACCAAGTGCTCCGTTGGGCAACGGGTTCTGTTGAAATCTTTTTCTCAGGAAACAATGCATTTCTAGCATCCAGAAAACTCAAGGTCCTCCAACGTCTCGCGTACCTGAACGTTGGCATTTATCCATTCACTTCCCTTTTCCTAATCGTCTACTGTTTTCTCCCTGCACTCTCCCTCATCTCAGGCCAATTCATCGTCCAAAATCTCAACGTCGCATTCCTCATATTTCTATTAACTATAACTGTATGTCTCATCGGGTTAGCTCTCCTGGAAGTGAAATGGTCCGGCGTTGCACTAGAAGATTGGTGGCGAAACGAACAGTTTTGGCTCATTTCAGGAACTAGTGCCCATCTTGCTGCTGTAGTTCAAGGTCTCTTGAAAGTAATTGCTGGCATTGAAATTTCTTTCACACTGACTTCTAAATCTGCTGGAGAAGACGTCGACGACATCTACGCCGATTTGTACTTAGTCAAATGGACTTCATTGATGATCCCACCTATAGTTATTGGTATGATTAACATTATTGCTATTGTGATTGCATTTTCCAGGGCAGTGTTTGCTACAGTTCCAGAATGGGGCAAGTTTATAGGTGGAGCTTTCTTTGCTTTTTGGGTTTTAGCTCATTTATATCCTTTTGCTAAAGGATTAATGGGCAGAAGAAGAAAAACACCTACAATTGTGTTTGTTTGGTCAGGACTTATTGCAATTACACTCTCCTTGTTATGGGTAGCTATAAATCCACAACAAGGTAATCCTGTACAAGGTATTGGTGGCTTTCAGTTTCCTTAAGTCATCAATTCAGATTAATTAAAACCAAAATATATGTTGTCAGGATTTAGAGAAAGTAGATTTGAAATTAATGTAATATATTATGTTGATTTTTTTCATTTTTTTTGGGGCATATATAGAGTTCGAGTAAAAAATAATGGATCTCGAAACATTTACGCTAGCATGTATCTCGAAAGAGACCACTTAAGGAAACATTGTTATGTTTTACAAAATTTGCAAGTTATTGGCTTTTTATGTTTGTGTATGTACTTTCTTTTGCTCATGTAATTCCTTCTCGTTTTCCTTTTTTATAAGATGATCAACTTTCTTTCATTTTTACCGTAGTATAAAGGCCGACTGCTTCATTATAGTTTTCGGCTTTAACATATTCGCAAGAAAAGAATAAATAAATAAATAAATAAATAAACATCTTCTCAATTCATTGGCACAAAAAAAGGTCTTTGTTTGAAGTTTGATAAAGTATTTTATTTTTTTACCGAACAACGCTAGAATTATAATGGAATAACTAAAATTCATAGTTTTAAGGGTTTCACGATTAGAATAACCCCATATATGGAAACACAATTGTTATAAAATGAATGTAGATTAATCATAAAGATAATTTCAATCATTGTTGAAATTAAATAGGAAATCGACATATTATCTAAGTAATTCAAAGAGAATTGCGTAATTTGCTTCATATGTTTTCCGTTAAGCTTCTTGTTGGATTATGGGTCATGGGTCGCTCCATGTGGGCTGACCCGACCCGGTTAGGAGAGATAAGAGAGAGGTTAAAGGGAAGTTACCACTAGAGCACAAGCACCCACTAAACTGAACCTGCAAAAGGGGTGAGTGGTGGGTTATCTTCCTTAACTGCTATTACTCTCCCTATTTATCTGAAGGAGACAATATAGAAAAAGAACACCGGAAGAATTTTCTCTAACTTAAGAATTTTCTCTGACTCTCTTCTTCTTCCAACGAAAAACACACACAAGCAAGGGCATCTAATTGGTGGAAGATTAACTTCGTTTCCTAGTGATTCAAAGTTCGATTTGGGGCAATTGTTTCGGTGGTGAGTTCAACAGTTCTTCCGCTGCATTGATAGGTACGCTAATGTTGTTCTCGCCCCACAATTATTATTTCATTTAACAGACTATGGCATCAAAAACTATCATTGCTGACTTAAACAAGGGTGACAAACTGAACGGTGAAAATTATGATATTTGGAGCTGTAAGATGTGGTATGTGCTGGAAGAGCAAGATGCTCTTGAAGCCATTAACCATGTCATGGTTTGCCCAGAGGAGGGTAACACTGCCCAACATAGGAGAGATCTTGAGGCTTACAATTCTTGGAAAAAGAAAGATGCCACTACTCGTGGAATCATTGTAAGCTCAGTTGCTAATGATCTCATCCACGAATGTGAGCAATATCCTACTGCTCAAGCCATGTGGGCACATTTAAGGGAGGCATATGGGGGTACGACTGTGACTCGCCTTCGTCAGCTGACAATCAAGTTTGACACGTAGAAAAGGCGTCATGATCACGGTGTCAAGCAACATCTAAGGGTAATGTCAAATATGATTGCTCAACTCAAAAGTGTTGGCCATGTTCTCTCTGATGAGCAGCAGGTTCAGGCAGTGATTCGGTCTCTTCCCAAATATTGGGAACATTTGAAGGTTAACTTGACTCACTATGATAGCATCAAAACTTTTGCTGATGTTGCCCGTCATGTGGAGCTTGAAGACGAGCGGCTTGGTGCTGCTAAAGCTGTACCTAATGCCTTTGTGGCAGAATCAAGTGGTACAAAGAGATCAAGTTTCAAGCGCAAGAAAAACTGGAAAAATGACGGAAAGGGTAAGGAGACCGGAGAAGGACCCTCTAAGAAAAGAAACAAGCCAAATTCCAAGAAAGAAAAACGGTTCTTCAAGAAGAAAGACAAGACCAAGATGAAGTGTTACAATTGCCAAGTTCCAGGGCATTTTGCTCGTGGGTGCACTGAGCCGAAAAAGGTAGCATTTCAAAATGCATCTCTTAGTGCTAAATATGTTTCTAGCACTGTTTTACTAACTGAATCTTATCCTGTGTGGATTGTAGACTCAGGGGCCACCGACCATGTGAGCCGCGATAGAGAAGCGTTCATAGAGTTTCGTCGAGTTCCACCTGGATCAAAGCATGTATATGTGGGAAATAATGCAAAGCTTGAAGTCAAAGGGATAGGCACTTGCAGAATGGACATGCGTGGTGGCCAATCTTTGATGTTGCATGACGTCCTATATGTTCCAGAGATTCGACGAAACTTAGTATCTGTGTCTGTTCTCCTAGATTTAGATTTCAATTTGAACTTTAGTCGCAGTGGTCTTAGAATTACTCAGACAATGTTTTTTTTTATGGTTTGGACATCGTTATGATGATTTTATTGTGTTAGATTGTAATCCTTCTACGTATAACTATTATGTTGACCGTTGTGTTGTGGCATGTTATTCTAGTAACAATGAAGTTGATGTTATCACATGGCATGCAAGATTAGGTCACATAGGGCAGGATCAAATGAATAGATTGGCTAAGGAAGGACATTTGGGTTCTTTTTGAAATGCCAACTTGTGAAAATTGTCTTGCCGGAAAGATTACACGTAAACCATTTGGAAAAGCTAAGAGAGCCGATTTTCCATTGCAATTAATTCATTCTGACATCTATGGTCCAATGAAAGTGAGGGCTAGGTCTGGTGCTTTATATTTCATTACGTTTATTGATGATTTCACGCGCTTTGGTTATGTCTATTTGATTTCTCATAAATCTGAAGCACTTGAATGCTTTAAGAAATATTTGAATGAAGTTGAGAATCAATTAGACAAAAGGATTAAGACCCTAAGAACCGATAGAGGGCGTGAATATCTATCAAAAGAATTTGAAGAATTGTTCAATGAAAAGGGAATCACTAGACAATTAACTATTCCGTACACACCTCAACAAAATGGTGTAGCAGAAAGGAGGTCCATGATGGCGTAGGCAAATTTACCTATCTCCTTTTGGGGAGATGCGTTATTTGACTGCAACTTACATATTGAACAAAGCCTTCTAAATCAGTTTCTTCCACTCCTTATGAGCTATGGACTGGCCATAAACCAAACTTAAAGGATTTACGACCTTAGGGTTGTGCTGCATATGTAAAAGATTCTTTTAGCAAGTTTGGTAAATTAGGTCCAAAAGGCAAGAAATATATCTTTATAAGATATTCAGAACACTCCAAAGGGTATGTGGTCATTGGTGAATTAGAGGATGGAAGTGTTAGTGAGATTGAATCACGAGATGTCACATTTCTGGAAAATGATTTTCCAAAAAAGGGCGAGGTAAAGAATAGTGAGCCTCTTTATGAAATGTTGAACTCAGATAGTCAGCAAGTGTCTTCTGACATAGTTGATAATCAAATTGATCAAGATATTATTCTTGATCCGAGTGGGAGTGGGAACTCTCAATCCCAAAATCCTTCTGACAAATCTTAATTTCAACTACGAAAGAGTGTCAGGAAAAATATACCCAAACGTACTGAAATGGAGGATTATATTTTCTTGGTATCTCCGACAGAAATGGATGAGCCAAAGTCTGTAACTGAGGCTTTATCGAGCCCTGGAAAAGATGAGTGGATGAAAGCAATGAAAGAAGAATTAGAGTCCATGAAAACCAACAAAGTCTGGGATCTAGTTGATCTTCTGCCTGGGCGTAGAGCTATTGGGAACAAATGGGTTCTCAAAGTTAAATGCAAAGTGGATGGGTCAATAGAAAGATACAAGGCACGATTGGTGGCAAAAGGCTTTACTCAAGAAGCTGGAATAGATTATGAGGAAACATTTTCACCAGTTGTGAAGTTTACCTCAATTCGCTTACTTTTGGCTATTGTTGCACGTTTGGATTTGGAATTACATCAAATGGACGTGAAGACAGCTTTTCTCAATGGAGAACTAAACGAAGAAATCTACATGGAACAACCTGTAGGCTTCATCGTTAAAGGCCAAGAAAAGAAGGTCTGTAAATTGAAAAGATCTATTTATGGCCTGAAGCAATCTTCAAGGCAATGGTATTTGAGATTTCACAAGGAGGTGATCTCATATGATTTCACCATGATCGATGAAGACCATTGCATTTATGTAAAGAAGTCCAATGGGATGTTTGTAATTCTTTCTCTTTATGTGGACGATATTTTATTGGCCGGAAACAATTTGGAGTATTTGAAAACTATCAAGTCATGGCTTTCAAAGTCTTTTGACATGAAAGATATGGGCGAGGCAGACTATATCCTTGGAGTTAAGATCCAAAGAGACCGTTCCAAAAAGTTATTGAGTCTATCTCAAGAAACTTATATAAAGAAAATCTTGGAGCGTTTTCGCATGAATAGTTGCAAATCCATGGATACTCCTATAGCGAGAGGTGAAACTTTAAGCCTTTAAATGTGTCCCAAGACTGAAAATGAAAAGGAAGACATGTCTCGAGTTCCATATTCAAGTACTGTCGGGAGCCTGATGTACGCTTTGATGTGTACTCGCCCAGACATTTGTTATGCCGTAGGTCTGGTTAGCGGGTATCAATTCAATCCTGGAAGAGATCATTGGAAAGCTGTGAAGAGAATTTTCAGATACCTGAAGGGAACTGCAGATTATTCACTATGTTATAGTGGAAATGATTCATACTTGAGAGGATATACAGATGCTGATTGGGCTGGTGATCGGAATGATAGAAAATCAACATCCGGTTATGCCTTCTTACTTAATGTTGGTGCTATATCATGGAAAAGTAAGAAACAAACCTGCACATCCCTTTCAACAATGGAATCTGAGTTCGTGGCTTGTGCGTCTGCAGTACAAGAAGCTGTTTGGTTGAAGAGATTCTTTGAGCATTTGAATATTACAAAGAACTCTCAGGGTCCCATGACTCTATATTGTGATAGTCAAGGGGCTATTGCATATACAAAAGATCCTAAGTATCACAGCAAGACCAAACACATTGACATCAAGTATAACTTTGTAAGAGACATGGTAGCAAGTGGAGAGATAAATTTACAGTACATTCCTACGCAAAATATGATAGCTGATCCTTTTACAAAGGCGATATCTAGAGACCTGTTTGAGAAACATGTTATGGCTCTAGGATTGCGAAGGATATGAACATATTTATGTATTGTAATATGACTTTAGTGTTATATTACGCTCATCAATATTTGACTCTTGAATTTTGCTATATCTTGTATGCATATGATGAATGTTTTGATGAT